ACAAGCTGAAGCTCTGGACCATCTGCTGGGCCAGGTGAAGACCGTCCACCAGCACTGCATTTGCCATGGTGAGTGCAGAGCACAGCGCTGCGGGGAGGTTGGGGTGGGGGATCCAGCTGCGTCCTCCAGGGTTGCGCTATGGCCCAGGGACCTGGCGTGGTCCCAGGAATAGGTATGTCCCTGGATGGGCATAGTAGAAAGACAGCTCAGGCAGTGGAAACCTTGGCGGAGCCTTCCCAGCAGGTTGGCATGCCATGCCGCAGGCTGCTGGTGCAGCTCGTCATCTCCTGCTGCAGCATCCTCTGCTCTCTGCTCCCCAGAGCCCTGCAAGAACCAGCCCCAGAGCAGGAAGCACTCTGTCTCCAAGAGCCTAAAGCACCTCTTCCACCCCGGCAGCAAGTTTCTCAAGACCCTGAAGCGGTGAGAGGCTGGTGCATGGGGGTGGTGGGGAGTCCCTCTCCCAGTGGTGACATAGGGCTGCCCATCCTGGGTGCAGCTGGGAGCTGTGCGTGCAAGCCAGGGCATGGGGGTGCTCAGAGGTGGGTCCTTCCCTGGACTGAGCTGGTAATGTCAGTGGAGATGAGTCCCATTGCTCAGAAATTACATGTTTCTCCTTAGTGTTTCCATTCGGACTGGCCAAGCTGCACCCGTACCCAGATCCTTGCACCATCTCCGAGCATCACTCAACACCCCACCTTCCTCTAGACCCCACCACCCTCCCACCGTCCACCTTCACACTTGGCCTCCAGGCACCCAGCGTGTCTCCTGCCCTGGCCTGGTCTCATCGCCCTCCCTTGTGCTGGCCGGGGCATCGGCCATATCATCAGCTGTGGCATTGGCCAGGCTTGCCTTGCTGGCAGCGTTGGGTTCCTGTTCCTGCTCCTGTACTGGCCGTGTGCCGCTTCTGCCACAGGCTGTTGGAGAGGAGCTGGGAGTTGGAGCGGAGCATCTCCTCTGCCCTCGGGAGAGAGAAACCCCTTGAGAAATGAAGCTGGAAGCTGAGGGTGACACTGAAGTCTGTCTTTGCTCCCATGCAGGGGCCTCTATCTGACAGCCATCTTCTACAAGGATGACAACATCCTGGTGACCCATGAAGACCAGATCCCCGTGGTGGAGATTGATGACACCTACTCCTGCCTGCTTATGCAGGATTTTCTCTGGTTCACCAAGGTGGGTGTCCCAGGGACTCTGTGCTGTGCACTGGGGCATGGCAGCCGTGTGTCTCCTGACACATCTCTGTCTGCCTGGTCACCACCCCAGATGCTGCTGAGATGATGGCTACCACCCCGGACCCTGTGTCCTCCAAGGGTACCGTCATCCGCACAGCACCTTCATTGACTCAACCTCCCCATCCCCTCCCCTGAGCCTGCCCACACAGGCAGCAGTGGCCGTTGTGCGTGGGGTATTTCAGGGCTCTCACCGGGGCTGGCTGGGTCTGATTCGGGGCTGGGACACCCCATGTGCACAAAGTGAGCATGAGCTACTCTGGCTACTCGCATCGGACAACACATCTGGCAGCTCCTGGGCTTCCCAGCGTTGCATCCGGGACCTCCGCTGTGCCGCTGCCCTCGCGTGCTCCACGGGGCAGAGCGATGCCGAGAGCCGGTAGCAGCCCAGGAGTGCCGGGGTGAGCCAAGTGGGCATCATCCACCACTGCTGCCTTCGGCTGGCGCCCCGGGCACTGGGGCTTGGTAGCGCAGGCAGCGCACTGGCTTGCTGCTTGCCGGGGTTCAGGACGGACTGAGAAACCACCAGGGAATGGCATTCCCACCCCAGCCCCTGGAAGCCCAAAGGTGGGCGACGGACCGGCGCCGCTCTGGGCAGGCTGTGTGCCATGATGGGTGGGCGATGGACCGGTGCCGCGCTGGGCAGGCTGCGTGCCGCGACGGGTGGGCGCTGCCTCTCCACAGGGATGCCAGCAGCTTCTGAGCTGTTTAACTGCTTCACCGCAGCATCCTGCCATGGCAGCTCTGCCTCTGTTGTACAGAGCAGGGTGCTGCAGCGACCTGGTCCTCTGCTGTCAGTAGGCTTAGTGAAGGGGCAGGTGGGCAGGTGAGGGCCAAAATCTTTTGCTGGATGGTCCTTATCTGCTGAGGGAGAAGGTTATCTTCTCCCTCCTTCTCTTGGCTATCTTCTACTCAAACTTAAGAAGGTCTCAGTCCTAGATGAAGACAGATATCCGAGTGGACACAGCACGGTGCTTCCCTCGGGTACAGGCTCTGGAGGCATCTCAGGGTGCCTGGGGCATAGGAAGTCACACCCCTGCCGAGAGGTGATGTGTGCCCGTGCACATTCCTACCCCAGCTCAAACAGCAAGGCAAATGGATTTCCCCAAAACACCTTTGTGTGAACCAGCTGCAGGCAGCAGCGGCTGGTGGTGACGGCCCTTTGGTGTGCTGCAGGTGTCATGCATGTGGGAAGAGATCCTGTGGTTGCGGCAGTGTGTCACCGTCTCCCAGTCATCCTGCTCCTGCATCCTGCAGACGCGCTTTAAGATGCTGCTGGCCATCTCACAAATGCAGGTGAGGTTGGGGAGTGGGTGCTTTAGTGGGGCACTGAGGGCCGGGCTCCCTTGGGAACAATACGCGGAGGTGCCCCAGCCAGGAGAATCCCAGACTCTGTCAGTCCTGCCCATAGCTTGGTCAGAGGCAGGGCTGGGTGCCTCTGCCTTGTCCTCCCTGGCAGGACCCCAGTCATGGGGCAATGAGATGTCAGGCTTCTGGGGGCTCTCAGTGGGGGCTTTTGGCTGGGCAGGCTGGTTTCCAGCAGGCAACTGCCAGTCACATCCCAACTGCCCAGACCCACAGAGCACTGTGTCTCGAGGATGTCCCCTGACACTCTGCTTTTTCTTGCCCTCCCGTCCGACCACGCAGGGGCTGCTGGGCATCCAGGACCTGGGGCAGGTCTTCTTCGAGCCCGTCAAAGACAAACAGGGCAACATCCTCATTGTCACCCTGAAGGAGGTGAAGACCAACCAGACCTTTGAGAGCGTCCGCTGGGTTCCCATCTGCAAGCTGCAGACCAGCCGCAAGTCTGTGTCCTCCCCGGAGGAGCCCACCGCTCTGGACATGCTGCTGATCTCCGTCCAGGTGCTGCACCCATGCCGTTGTGGCAGGGGATTGCTGTGGGCTCCATTGCGGGACCACCAGCGCTCCCTGCTCCCCCTTGGGCTGGAAAGGCCACGGCAGAGCCCAGGCCACCGAGGGTCCAGTCCTGGCTGCAGGCAAAGGGGGGCCAAACCCCACCCAGCCTGCAAAAATCCTGTTGCTTTGAGAGGAGGCATCAGGCTGGTGCCAGATTCATCCCGGCAGCACCAGATTGTACTTGCTCTGCTGCTTCCCTTCTGCCGGCTGGGCTGGCTGTGCTGGCACGAGGGCAGGAGAGAGCCCCGCTGCGAGGACTTGCTCAGTCCAACAGTGCCTTTCTCCTCAGGACAAGCTGGCTTACCACCAGCGGAGCAGCCATGCCCTCTCCCCGGGCCTCTACCTGGGCTACTTGAAGCTCTGCAGCGCCGTGGATCAGATCCGAGTGCTGGTGCCAGAGCGGCTCCCCAACATCCTGTGCCATGTCAAGATCCGCTCCAACCCCAACATCTCCAGGTGGGACTTGCAGGGAAGTTCACCTGGGGCAGCCAGGCTTCTCTGTCCCATCCAGCCTAAGAGCACCCGTCACCTCCAGCTTCTGCTCTTGGGTTCCTGGCAGCGGCGTAATATTCTCGCTCAATTCTGCTGCCTGCCATGCAGGGCAGCCTGGAGCTGGAGTAAACCAAGGTCCCTCTCTACCTCCTCAGCTCCCGCATCCCTCAGGATGCTGCACCATCTGGGGGAGGAACAGCTGGGCAAACACAGCTCTTGTAGTGATTGTGCATTCAGGTCCACCTCAAGCTGCTCCCTCCTCCATGTGTCTGTCTGTCTTTCTCCAGGGAGGAGTGGGAATGGCTGCAGAAGATGGTCAGTGTGGATGAACCTGTTCCTGCAGAACCAGAGGCTGAGACCTCCCAGAACCACTTGTTTCAGGAGCTCCAAGTGGCCATCAAGGAGCTGATGACCCTGGTCAACATCCCATTGCAAGAGGTACAGGCAGTTGCCAAGGTTTGGGGTAGAGGGACGGGAAGGGGATGTGCAACACCGTCCTGGTCACTGTGGCAGGCAGGGTACTGCAGCGCCCATCCCTCTTTGGGAGCCTGAAGCATCGATGAGGTTTTAGTCCTGTGTAAATAGAAGGCAAGCGGTGGACAACCAGCATCTGAAGTATCTGCGTGCCCAGGGGCAGTGTCCACAGGAGTTGCTTGTCCGTACTTCTGTACAGTGCTTCCTCTACTTCTGAAGCAAGGATGGTGAATCTGGGTTTGCATTATTGCCTGCCATGTGGTTTGATCCTGGGCTCAGCCCTTCCAGCACGAGACCAGCCCAACTCTGCCCCTCCAAAGCAGGATGGTCCCTGGCCAGTGGTGGGATGGAACTGCAGCTCCCTGGACCAGGCTGCACAGGGAGAAATCCCTCCTCCACCGTGCCGAGTATTGGGTGGGAAGATGCCCAGCAGCTCCAGTGCCAGGCACGTGCTTCTGGCCGGGCAGCTGTGAGGGCACCTCTCTGAGCAGAGCTGAGACCATCGCTGGGGGCACTTCTCTGAGACCCTAGCGTCGTGACTTTGACCAGTAGTGTGGAGAGTTTTAGGAGAAATAAGAGAGAAACGGAGATGTGCAGATTATGCCAGAAGCAAGGAGCCTCTGATTGCGTGCTGAACCAGCAGTGTCCGCTGGCTGCAGGTGGCCCCTGAGGACTGCTTGGTGGATGAGGGCTTGGTGGATGAGGACTTGGTGGAGGGCCCACCAGGTGATGTTTGCAGCTGTCTTCTTGCAGGCCAAAGATTTCCGTCTGTACAGCCAAGAGGTGCTGGATTTTGGGGGCCAGGTCTCTTTCCTGCTGCTGCTGCCTCCATCAGATGACGTCTGCACTGCTCCCGGTCAGAACAACCCCTATACCCCTCGCTCCGGCTTCCTCACCCTGCCGCTGCAGATCTTTGAGCTAGGTGAGGAGAGGGAATGTCAAAACCCAACCTTGCAGGTCTCCTTGTCCTCTGAGACCTCCCAAGAGCTGGGATGGGCAGTGGGCTGGGCTGGAGCTCCCTCACCTTCCCCAGGAGAGGAAGGATGGAGGAGGATGCTGAGGGCTGTCCAGGTAGCGTTGCTTCCTCCCTACGTTGGGTGAGCAGAGAGGAGGCTGGAGGGCATCCACAGCAAACGACCTGATATTTTTCATTCCCCCCTCTCTTTTTTCCTCTCCTCAGTCCACTTCTTCACGTACGACCGGGAGTTCATCACCCAATACTGCCAGGTATCTGCGCTCCTGGAGCTGGAGTCCCTCCTCTCTCAGCAGAGCCTCAGGGAGGCCTTCTCCGACGCTGAGCTTGCAACTGCAAAGCAGAGGCACCAGCAGGTTCAGGACTACATCCAGGTACGGGGAGTGGGAGCGTGCTGGGAGGGAGCCAAGCTCGACAATGCTCGTGCAACGTGGCCAGGACAGTCGTGCCCTGGATGAGCTGCAGGAGCATCCCCACCAGGGCTGTTCTCTGGTCGTGGTGGCTGTGACCCCATGGCAGACGGGCAGCAGCAGGCAGGGCTTTGTCTGGCAACCTCTTACAGCAATGATCACATTAAAAATCAGACTCCTGCTCTGCAGGTCCCCCTTTTGCTAGAAAAGGGCCTGGAAGTGCATTTTGGGATGGACGTGCGAAAAAGCATCCCACGCTACCCCCTTTCCCAGCATCCCTGCCTGCAGCAGGCAGGTCCTGTGGAAGCAGCAGCCACCGGTGGTTGAAGCAGCATCTTCCCACCTGAGAGCATTTTCTTGGGATTTCCTGACTGGGGGATTCCCCCAGAGCTTTCACCTCTTGGGAAAGGTGTGTGGAGAGAGCCTGTGTTTTGCTGTGGGGCTTTTTTGTTGCTGTTGTTTGCTTTTTGAAAGGAATCCTTTGTTTCCTATTTTGGCAGCAAATGGAGGAAATCTGGCGTGAGATGCGCTGGATTATCGATGCCCTGCAACATGCCCGGTACAAGCAGCCCTCCTGCGGGGTGTCTCTTAGCGGCTTCCTCAGTGAGGCCGGAGGTGCAATGAAGGAGAAAACCCAATCCACCTCATCCCACCTCGACTACCTTCCCTCCCCGGCACCCTCACCGGAGACCAGCCGTAAGCTCAACTCCGGTAAGGACCTGGTTTTGCAAAGCTCCTGCCAGGTGGGCTCAGGGGGGTGCAGGCAGGGCCGGTGTCGGGAGCACGGGCAGGGCAGTCAGTAGTTTGGGGCAGGACCTGCTCTGCCGGTGCCCTGGTGGGCACAGCCCGAGTGTATAGCAAGGGGATAAATGCTATGGGGCTTCCTTGGGGGTTGCCAACAGCAAGGCTGAGCCCTCTTTGCTACTCTTACACCCCTCACAGATTCACACGGGCTGTCGGATGAGGAGGGCTCCTCGGAGGTGTTCCTGGCCACCGACAGCGACTACGACTCCAGCAGGGCACAGAGCCCGAAGGAGCTTGACCTGGTGTACTCCTCCTCGGGGCCTGAGTGCTGCAGCAGGAGAGTCGCCCGCACCCTCCGGGACAGTGCCCCGGACGTCCTGCAGACCCACGAGCTCAAGACCTC